TGTCGCAACCTCCAAAGATCACTTCTCTAAGTAATGGCAATCTGGGATCCCTCACTGTCTCATCACGGATCTGTTGTTGCTTTTGTTGGGAATTTGGGAGATTCTTTCTAATGGGGAAGACGGGACCAAATGGCACGGAATTTTCTTAGAAAAGTTTCCGGAAATCCGAGATTTGTTAAATTTCCAAAAATGCGAACCATTCAAACGAAAGTTTCGGGAATTCCGGGAAGAAAATGAAATGGAACAAAATTCCCGGTAAGAAATCTGCGAAATTTGAATATACCTCTCGAGGCTCTACTGTTTTCCCTGAAATTCAGAAAATGCTGTTCCATTCGTCACTGGAAATTTCATCGAATGCAAATCGCCCAACATTTTCCTCTGTACTAGTGTTAACCTTGAAGGTAAGGGTATAGACCCCCGTGTATCGTGAGTGTCTGCTGTGACTCGCCTTGCATTGCCTTACCTTTGTCGTAGCTTGAGCATTCGCTTGTTGCAACATCAGGCTGTTCTTTCCGTAGGGTCTCGCGGGTCATAACGTCTGACCTTTTGGATTGGCAAGCTTTGCTGAAATGACCACAGTCGATTGATCGGCATGTTTTGGCAGCCATTGAAGGAAAGTATTCTTCACCAGCAAGGTTTTTGTGGCTTTCTACCGTATAATTGTCTGGAATTTAACGTTTGCCCCGTCAGGGATCATGGTTACGGACGCCAGCTAAGTCTGGGGGTAATGGTTCCTTTCGGCAGTTCTGAGAAAAAGGTCCAGTGGTTATGAATGATCTATTGAACAATTCTTTACGTACTGTGCTAGCTGTGCGTTTAAAACGCATCACATTACCATCGTTTTCATAGAAGAAGCATAAAAACATTTGTCATCCTATGTCCTCGTCAAACGTTATCAAAACCTTTCTTACTTGGGTGTGAGCAGTCATTAACACGCGTAGATCTCTTGCTTCTCTGTCGCTATGCCTTTTGCAAAACTCTTTTCTCTAGCCCGAGAGCTTGAAAACGGTAGTGCGCGGCTGTCAGGTTCTAGAATTTTGTATGTGGGAAATAAACTCAGGTATAGTAATAGACTGGCTGTTACATTTTTTATTTTTTTCTGATGACTTTTCCATTGTTATGTTAAATGGCAGAACTTGTGAGCAACAGATCAGCCGCACGATCGGATTCGACAACTTGTACACGCCTCTCTTAAATCGCTGTTAACTTCCTTAGCCGGTTCATTCCATCCGGAGCATACTTGAACATTTTTGCTGTCTGGAGAATACTTTGAGTACGTTCGCTGCTGCTTTGGCTGAGACAGTTTCGTTTTTGATTTGCGATCCAGGTTCGTTCTTTTTAAACAATGACTTTCAAATATCCGAGCAATTCCATTCTCTCGTCCGAATTTTCCCAAATCAACCTATTTCTTCCTCTGTATTTTCAAGCTAGCCCTTTTTTCTCTTCCTGAGAACGGTTTGTGCTGTACGTAGTTGCATCGAATTGCATTGAAACAATTTACAATGAGATGCTTTTCCCACCATCCAAACCAAGAGAATGTGTTGCAGAAATGTGGAGAAAGAGCAGAAAGAGCAGGTGCAAATTTATGGAAATTTTAAAAGGCCTCTTTTCCTTTAATATGTTTTGCGGGGAAAATTACCCGTATTTGCGTAAAAATAAATAACGTAAAAATACAAACGAGACCTTCGTGGGGGGTCTAATAAGTGAGAAATCCGATTATCGCTAACTAGCTTGAATAAGAAAATTGAGCTTGGCACCATATCAGGAACTGATCATTATTAGAAGAGGGTCTGGAAGGGGGGCTCCTGATCCCGCATTCCCGCTATTTTTTCATGAGAATCCCGCATTCCGCACTTTTTCCATTACTATCCCGAATCCCGTTTTTCTTTCCCAGAAAAGTACATTAAAAAGTCAAATTTCTACAAAAGCTAATAAATGTAAGGTGTAGATTGGCCCTTTCGATTGAATTTCCACGTTTTTTTTCTGCAAAAAAGAATAGGTTTTTGTACCTCAGTATGATTTAAGAGCCGGGCTTTTCTTCGAGGCATTTACTGTTAGCGATTTCTGCTAACCCAGTGAGAGTTTTCAAGAGCTTCACGAAGTTAAACAGGTTTTTGTGTTCGTCGCCGCTTAGCGGAACATTGAATTTCTCTTTGTGGATCGCCGAGGAATTAGAAGTATTGTCGGTGGCTGCAAGATAAAACGAGACCAAAACTCTTACTGTAGCAGAGCTGGCATCACTATTTGCCATATCCAGAGCCATCTAGTGGTTAAACTGTTGGCAAAATCCCTTCAAGCTTCAATAAATGTGAACCTGTGAAGAGACTGAAGAGCTTGAGCAATTGAGCATCGAGACAATAACTGGCATGCTGTTACACCACGTGCACTTTTCTGGCATCTAGTTGAAACAAAATACTCTCTGACAGTTCCAATTAGATAACTATTAACCAGGCACACTCTATAGTTTGGTTCAAAAGGAGACACCACTTAGCACTCACCTGATTGGTTCGCTTTGGCCGCTAGAACGTTCATTTGGGTTGTGACAATTTCCCGAATTCCTGACAGACAGGTAAAAAAAAAATCCCTCCTTCCGTGCCCAAATTTTGGCGAGTACCGCTTCCCGGAGAGCAGACAAATCGCGGATCCCGTCAAGATATTTATCGTTTTCCCGATTCCTGCACCATATTTTGGTCAAATCCCGGATCCCGAGAATACCCTTCTAGACTCTCTTGGAATGCCCATAATTCTACAAAGTTTGGTGCCTGTATCAAAAATCGAACAATTCAAAAGCTTTGCCGCTGGACTAGGGACTAGAGACAATACACAACAACACACTCAGCGTGGCATGTTTGGGTAATGGTATGCTGCCGAAATTAGGTTCCCTGCTGAACGGCAGAGCGAAATCCGTTTAGAGAGAAAATGAGGTTTACGGCAAACGGGAAACATTAACCTTTTGCCGTCTGTCCTAAGTCTGTTTTTAGTCACTAGCACAGAAGAGGTGGAGTATCCTGTGACTAAGATATTTTGTTTGGACCGGTTTTGGGTTAGAGGAAAAGCAAACAAACTCAGAGGCATTTTTTCCGCTTCACGTCAATCGTGAGATCTCTATCTATTACCAAAAAAGTCTATATTATGTTTTGACCTTTCTCACCACATTTCGTGTTTGCATGGAAAGGACATGAATTGATTTCTTCAAAGACTACAAGTATTTATTTTCCGTAACATGAAAATTCCTTCTCTTCCAACCGTCTTTTCTCACAAGCCTTCCACTTAAGACTTTCCTGTTGTGGCGGAGACGGCCGAGTGAGAGCACGGGTCTGGTCACTGACTAAACTAAACTACGAGCGAACAAGATTGACGAAGCCTAAAACTGGGCAGTTGTAAGGCTATATAATTAACTTTACTTTTGTCTGCCTGAGAATAATTAATCAGCTGTTTTTAGCTTTAACACGGTTGTGATTCCCTAGCGTGACACTCAGAACACAATATGCATTCCAATCCCAATTAGATCTCTTATTTATTACCTCATTTGAAACAGGTCGTAGTTGAAAGCTTGAAGTAATCACCAAATATACGTTTTTCATTTTCATCCTCCATTAAAAAACACTTTCTTACTGTCCAGGTGTGTGTTTCGCGATATACATTAAATGCTGGTGGCAATGCTGAGATGTACGAGAATCCCATATCAAAGCACGGTAGCGATATTGTCATCCCATGTTGCTGACAACATGATGGGATGCTGTGCTTGGAATGTAGCACTTATCCACTGTCTTTTCCCATTCCTATTCAGATTTCAAGTTGTATCAACAACAACTTTAACTTTCATTTCAATCAGAATCAGCTGAATGAATCTATCAGGGTCCCAACGGTGACGTGGAAGGTGGGGGCCCAAAGTAAAAAATTCAGTCATTTTTAGTATCCAGTAAATAAAGGGAATCTAGTTAGGAGAAAGTGCACCAGACCGGAAAAATATGCATTTTTTGCCATTTGTCCAGCTTGTAACACAATTATTCAATTGTTTTTCCTTGGTTTCTGAAGATTTTAATCCTATATTTGCCCGCCTTATACGATAACTATAGCTTCATCCGCGTGGCGTGGCGAACTTTCGCTTCTTCACTCATTGATATATTTTCATTCGTTCTTCGCTGTTTTCGCTTTTTCGAACCGGTCCATGGTTTAAACGTGGTCTATGTTTACTTTTACTCTTAAGATGAGTGACGGCCGAAACCAGTCAGTTACCCAAACACTTACCAAGGCTCCCATATTGGATTTAAGGTTACAGTATACCTTCTGGTCGGCAATTTTCTTCAAATTTGGATGTTTGGGTCAAAATAGTGGTCGAAGAATAATCTCTAATTTCTGAAAAAAAATTTTGAAAAAGGCTAAATATTGGCGGAGAAATGGCGGTTTTACGTTTT